TGGTTGGGTTGCTTCCGAGTTTACTGTAGGGGTTTGAATGCAATTTGTGCAGCATTCCGCTGTGGCTTGGAATCATCATTGCAGCACCCACGCCCTCCAAGCACGAGTCCCACACACAGTCTAGCTGAGGGTAGAAGGATGCCGCAGGAAGCTGCAAACCTTTGATTCTGATTAATTAATGATAAAGGATTCACTTCCCGATGGATTGATTTGCAAGCCCTCTTTCTCAGCCCTAAGCATACTACACTCACGACCTGCCTGGAACATCCTGGAACCCTGAAAGCCCTAAACCGGAAAATTTGAGAGCACAGAGGCTTGAACACTTCGGAGACTCTTCAGACCCAGGTCTGCGTCCCCACGTGCCCGACGAGCGGGGGGCCTCGGGCATCCTGATTTCCCCCCCAGGCTCTAAGGAGTCGTAATAGTAGTAGGGCTGAAAAAAAAAGGGACTTGTAGGGTTCTTAAACCCGAAATACACAAGGGTTCTGTAGAGCCGGGATGCCAGAGTCTTGTTTGCATCCTAGTAAGCACCGTTTGGCGCGAGGCCCGATCCAGAAGTCCATGGACCGTTCCACTGGCACTTCACTGATCCAGAACCATTCGCAAGCCAGAAAACAAGAAATGCGCAGGCGATGTAGGCTCGTTGCCCCTGCAAAGAAAAACAGAGGATCTTCTTATGGGTGTTGAACCCTGAGCCCCTAAACTTGAGGTCACAGGACTCCAGCTTGGTGTGGCTCAGGGCTGCGAGCTTCGCGATTCGCGCTAGGGGCTTAAGGCTCTGGGCGTTGAAACGACGCTCCAAAAGACCGCTTCAAACATTCCGTTGCAGATTTTACATTCTACTCCTCAATTGAGCAACCTCCATTGAAACCCTCTTTCTTGAAGCAATCCTGAGAGTCTGAGCCCCAAACAACAATAAGTTATGAGTCTGAGTTACGGCATTGCCATTTGCATTCTTGTTGTTTCGGTTAGTATGATTACTGCCGATTCACCTAGATTCCTAGATATCTTCTCCCATCCTCCAGCTTTCGTCAGGGTGGTCAGGCATCAAGTGTTTTAGGCGTGCGTAGGGCTTCAGACGTACATCGCAGAAAGCTCCACGGATTTGCGGCCCAAATTTGGCTGAAACCCCTAACCTTGCCTCGCCTGCAGAGTCCCAGTAGCGTGAACCCAATCCTATCACCATAGGTATCGAAGGGCAGATTGCTGCAGCCTACTGCGATGGCCCGGCCCTTGACGTTTAGGGCGTCAAACTCCCTGGGCTTGGAGTTCAGGGTTCTGGTTGTCGGATTTGGCCTCCCCGAGGAGACGTTCTTTTGAACGCAGCAGCCGAAGTGTGACCGAAGGTGTTTGACAGAGATCTTGAGGGCTCAGGGTTCAACGAAAGCCCAAGCCCTCAACCACTTTGAGTCGTGGGTTCAGAATTCCAACTATGCTTGTCTCTACAAAGCACCAAGCCGTACAGAATTTAGACTAGGCGGGGCTACTCTCAAAGCTGCAGCATGCAGCATGGAAGTAACTTCAGTCTGCAGATTGCTGTTTGATGGATGTATGTATCTGCATGTGTGTTGCTTCAACCTTGTTGCCGTGCATGGGGCTTTGAGCTGTAAATGTATTTACTTCCCGAGCGTTTGTTCTCTCGGTGGCTGCATGGCTCGTGTTGGGTCTAGCCCCTGCAGGCTAAAGAAGCCTTTGCAGTCGTATACGCAAGATCTCTCACAGCGCCCGCGCACACATGACTGGGGCAAACGTGCTCCAAAATAGGGTGCCGAGCACAGTATGCTGTACTGAAAGATGCTGCTAAGTTTTGTAGCTGCCGTATCACACAGATGCAGCTTGAAGCCAAGGTGGGCAGCCGGACTACCCCTCCATCCCGATTGCGGACAAAGTCTGCTTCCCCACGGACCTTGGGCAGCTTTCATAAGCCCTCGGACACGCAAGGCCCATTGATTCAGGACGGACAGAAGCAGGCACAGGTAGCTGTAGCAGACATCATCAGATATGCTGGATGATAGGTGTGTTTCACTTGCTCAGCTCTCGGGTTCAGGATTGTAAGAATTAGTTTTAGCATTTGGGGTGTTGAGATACATGGCTTTTTGAGCGAAGAAGGTGTGGCTATGGGAGCCAGAGTTGCGGTATATAGTGTCTTTGCGCAGCGAAGGAGAATGCGCGCACAGTAGTGAGGGGGAGAAATGCGTGAATATATGCGGGCAGATACATGCAAACATACATAAACGCACATGCAAATGCATACATGCATACATACATGCGCACATGCACATACACAAAATTACAGGTGCTGATGCATATGCCTATACCTATACATAGAAAACACATTTAGACAAAAACTGTATATATGTGCATATATATATATATATACACACATGCAGCATGCATATGTAAATAATATGTATTTGCCATCCATCCATCCTTTTGTTTGTCCATGCATGGTGTTCGCACATACCCTGCTTGACCTACCGCGCGTCCAGACCAGCCTAGTTTAAAGGTCGTTCCAGTCGGCCTGCCTTCCGAGCTTCTCTGGAGGTTGTAGCCTGCAATCCTGTAGCCGAACATCGTACGAAATTGGATGGAGCACACGTTGCAATTCATATCACCTTAACCCCGTAAACCAAGGACTCTGACCGCTTCGTCATCTTGAACCATCTGGCATTTCGACTTGGTGTGTCCAGTCCTCAATGCAGCCTCACTTGATTGCAGCGCGTCATAGTACTTGGAAGAGCCTCAGTCGCTATTGTCTTTCCCCGGCGGCAGGAATGGTAGCAGTTGAGAGTCGAGAGGGCGTGGTCTCAAGGATCGTGCTTACCTGCAGGACTTAGGACTTTCAAGGGTACCGGCACTTCTTATCCTCCGCCGCTCTATAATCATTGCTACTATTACCATTACTATTATTACTATCATTACTACGATTACTACTATTACACTATTATTACCTAAGAACCCCGTCGGTCGTGCCTGGACTCCTCCGAGCCGAAATGTCAAAAACAAACTTATCAAGCCCGGAACACTGGATGCCATGCCAGCCTTGAGCGAGCGTGTGAGTCGAAACCTTAAGCCCTATAAACCCTACATCCTGGCTTCACCAAACGGAAACTGGCTGATGAGAAAAGGGGCCGTTAACAAAAAAGAGACCTGCATCCTAAACCCTAGCCTATCTACCGAGACTCCAGAGACGCAGAGCCTGGAGCTTCGGCTTGTTGTTGCCTTTTGGGGGGGAAACTTCGGGTTGGTTGGTAGGGGTTAAAAGGATTTACATCATGGTTTAATTCATGTTCTGGGGATTTAGGCTTTTACGATTCAGGGTTTTACCTAGGTTTGGGTTTTTAGGTTTAGGGGCGTTACGCTGAAGCCGAAGCCGACGAACCTCGGGTGCTAAGCCGCTCAACTAAGTTAGCAAAGTGCCTGCTTATCAGGTATCTGTGTTAAGGGCAGTAACGGGTAGTAGCTGTAGTAGTGGGGGCGCAGTAGGATTATTAGGACCCTTTTGGATAATCCCGCAAGTGCAAGGGACAGCTTCCTGGCGTCCATGGTGGAGGTTCAGAAATCGCAGGGTGCTCAGCAACCTGCGTCCCAACAGTTCTTGGATTTCGGGTTTAACTTGTTGCTTCTTCTTTTCCTTCTTGAACTCGTCTTCATGTTACAACGTTGAGGCTCACACCAAATCCCGCATCCAGCTTTCGCGCAAGCGGCCGCAGTTCGAAAGGTTAAGCAGTCCTCTCCTGCGGCTGAAGTAGCTTCTTAATCCTGCTGGCTTCACAACTATAAATCCCTGGGCGCAGTCCTTGCTCCATGCTTCCAGCCCGCTTCCTTGAGTTATTTAGGGTTCCTGGAATTCTTTCCTTGATCTGATGCAGTATAAAGCTCGGATAGAACTCATCAAAAGCCGTACAAACCATCAAACGCAGTGAAAAAATCAGATGGAACACTACATCCTGAACGCTACCTAAACCCTTAGGCCCCAAGCCCCAAACCCTCCGATTTCTTTGAGGTGGCCAGCGCTCTTTTTGTCCGGCCTGTTGGTGCTGGCCTTAAGTCGCGGTCTCAGAAGTTGAAGAGATCTTAGGGTTTAGGGTTTAGGGTCTCAGAAGTTGAAGAGATCGGGGTTCCGATCTAAGGGTGACATACTGTAGGGGCCTAAATGTTTACGAATACTATTTTGAGGGCTCCTGATTAACATCGTATTTTATTCACCAGAACCATGGTATTCGGAACATTAAAAATACGACCCTTAAAATAGCTTCAGGGATTCGTTGCAGGGGCCAGGGGTTCAGGGTGTAGGGTCTGCGGGCGTTGGGGGATCTGATCTATTTAGGGCCTTGTAGGGGCTCGGGATTCGGGCTTGGGGTTGAGGCTTTGGGGAATGGTAGTTGAGGGCCGTGGCCCTTTTCCCGAATTTTTTATCGGAGCTCACAGAGGTTAGGGTCCGAGGAGTTTGGCAATTAAAAAGTCCGGGTGCGTAGACCCTGAGCCACCGCAAGCCTTCGAAAGGGGCGTAAAGTAGCGGTAGGAAATGGTTAGCAATCCTAATTCCTTAAGGCTCCTTCTTCTATTGTATGGTATAACCTTCCCCGAAGTCCCACTCTAACCATTAAGGCCCCTACGCTTTGCTTCACGAGGTGAGGGATCCCCAAAGCCTAGTTGCTGTGCTACTGTCCCTAAAGGGCCATCGCAACATAATTGATCCACATGCACAGGTGAGCTTCTCAAAATCTCGCCGAGTTTCATAAGGGGTTCAGGCTGGGGTGTAAAATGACTTAGTAAGCCTAGGGTTTAGAAGTCGGACTTTCTTCAGAGCCTACTGTTTTGGATAAACCGTTCGGGATAGTGAAGCTTTTCCTTCATTGTCGAAGAAGGCAACGGCTGGTCTCAGCTGGCGATCTCCACGTTTGAACCACGGTAAGCTTTGAAAATCAGTGCTGCAGCCCTTTGAAAGCAGGGTGAGAGTTGTTCCTGTTTCGATTCGGCAGAAACCCTTTCTTGCCATGCAGTTGTTCAGTCTTCTGGCTGTGCTAGCCTCCGCCACCGCTATCAATCAGTGTGATACCGCATCAAAAGGTGGCGAGTGCCGGAAGCCAAGTGGACACTATGGACCGGCCTTCCTGCAGTTCAAGAGTCTAGTGAAGCAGACGGCCGGCTGCCAAGGGGACGACGGGACCCTTTGCAAGCCTGAAGTGTCGAAATGTGCGCCTTTCTCTGAATGGCCGGATGTGGACAATGGTGTCACCTGTGGGGGCTGCAAAGCGCTAGTGCTTGCGGCACCTTATCAAGGCCGCTGCGACCGGTATTGTGCCAGCTTCGGGCATCGATGCACCGCCGCTGCAGAAGAGAAGTCCGAGTCTTGCGAGGCTGAGGAGGATCATGGGACTTTGTAAGTTGCGAAGTAGCAGGTGCTCCAGTAAGGTAGCTATAGTTTCTATTTTTAACTACTGCTAAGGCTTAGATGTATTCTGATGTAAGGTAGCTGCAGATATGATTGCTAACTACTCTTGGCTATAATAATCATCATAGCGATAACAATAATAATAGTAAAAGTATTACTAATTATAGCAATAATAATGATTATAGTAATAATCATATTAATAATGATAATAATAAGCACAGTGAACGCATTCATGCCTACAGGAGAAGCGTTGCGATGAGGAAATCTCTGACACCTCGGACATCCTTTGCACTTGCGAGCGCGAGGATGGGGCTCCTAGCACCACTCCCGGGCCTGCCCCGGCCCCCCCGACAACCACCGCAGCTCCACCCTCCCCTCCAGCACCCCCAACGCCAGCTCCTCCGGCGGAGTGCTGGGTGGAGCTTCCAGACCTGGCTACGGAGGAAGGCACAAGCATTGGGGAGGTGCCCAGGGGCTCATCAGTGTCGGCGTGCCGCCGCCGCTGCGATGAGAATCCCGAGTGCAAAAGCATCTCCTTCTGCCCAGAGTCCAGGCTGTGCTTCGAAATCGTTCTTACTTCATGTAGCTTAGCGTAATATGTTTTGTAAGAAGAGCGAGAGGTAGAATTCTTAAAGGGCCCACAAGAACAGCCCAGGAATGGGGCTGCTGGTTGAAGGATCGCAGCTTCACAGGTACAGAGCCAACTCGGGAGAAAGGGTCGTGCAAGACGCACTTCAAGACATCCTGCGATGCGACGACTACCACTACAGCAAGCTCCAATCAAAATGGCTACTTCAAGTTGCGTGTCGTCTCTTACAACATCTATTGGTGGAATGCCTTCGGTCAGAATCCATGGAAGGGAGTCACTTAGCAGAGCACGGAACATGTAATCTTCTTCGGGTATCATAATCCCTGAGTGACCGCAAAGATTAGCTTTTGGTTCCCTTGGAAGAAGGGACAATCAAGGAGAGGATTCTCAACAACATCAAGGACAACCTTGTTCCCGATGCTATTGGCTTGCAGGAGCTTCGGTCATAAAATGGCGAAGATCTATATAGTGGAGCATACGGCAGTCCTTCAAGCTGAGCTCTGTCAGACACGGCGCACCGGCGGCATCCGCCTTCCGCGTGAGAGAGAGCGAGAGAGAGGGAGAGAGAGCTTACGAGTCAGTTGGTCAGTTGTCGCTGACCTAGTGTATAGACGCCCTGTGTGTAACTTGTTAAGCCCTCAGTCCAAGGGCTTTCAGGCTTTCAGGGGTGCTCACCTTTCGGACGCGAATTATTGCGGTTCTTCTTGCTGGCAAGCGTGGCTCGGCGGGATTTCACGCTGTTGCCTACTAAACTCGGCAGTTCATGCGGGTGCAGTATTTTGAGGATGTGGATGCAGGCCCTTTCACTGGCCTTGTGGCTTGAGATCGTTCACGCGAAGTTGCACCGAGAGTGCTCGCGAGTTCGGCAGCGAGTGATGTCCCACGTTTGGCCTATGCGTTCGTGCTTATAGGCTGTCACTCTCGTCCCCCGGGACTTGCCTCCCACGTTTTTCTGTGCAGTTTCCCTGCAGTGCGACCTAGTCAGCAAAGCGTGTGGGAAAAACTGCTCAACCCTTCAACCCTCCCTAAGCCCTCACCTGTCCTCCTGATCCCGAATGCGTCAGAAAACCGTCTCCACACCCTTGTAGAACCTGCTAACATGCAAAGCCCCTATACTGTAAACCACCTTCTGAAATCTGAAACGTACCAGAAGGAGTGTGACTCTCGCTCTCGGGTCGAAGATGCGACCGGGCTCCAGCGCGCCTCGAAGTTTGCCGGGGCGCAGGGTGCCTTGGGTGGTCTAGCTTGGGGTGTATAATGGTTTCGGATTCGGGGTTTGAGAGGTTTGTCAGTTTCCTTATTCCAAGAACTGCGGAGGAGAAGTATCTGCTGTGCAACCGACATTTTCATATTGCACCAAACCTGCCCCAACATCACATCGGCTTGAAAGAGCAGCCACAACAAGTCTATGAACCCTAGACCTGAAGCCATATCATCTATAGGAACCTGATTAAGAAACCCTGGGTCTGTATCAGGGTTCGTAGTATTACGCTTATTATATTATGGATCCTGATATATTGAGGTTGCAGGGCCGAGGCTTCTTAGTAAGGTTCCTACATTATGATCCCTCCAGGTGTGATGGTGGACCCTTCCCGACTTCGCGTAGTGCCAGGCACGTCTGGTTCCGAGGACCTGCAGGCAACAGGTGGGTGGTTGTCAAAATTATGGTCCCTTTTTGGGCCCTTATTATAATACGGCACCTATTATTTAGGGTACCCCAAAAGGGACCATAATTTTGACAACTACCCAGGTAAGTGGGGACCTAGACACGTCACCTTCGTCCAGCTCGCCGAGCCTCGGGTGGGTAGTTGAAAGGGCTAACGTGTTCTGAATAAGATCTATTATAATATCTGAGGTAGTTACTGTCATATACTATAATAGAGTACAATATACAAAGAGACATACTAGACTCTGGTAATTTCTAAGGACCTTGCTAAAAGGTAGTTTCCTTAGCAAAGGACACGACCACGGGAAGGACCTTCTGGATTTTCAACACCCATTGGTGCGTTGCCAACGGCAATGGCCGAACTTGCAATGAGGGCGTGCGCTACACTGGGGCTCGGAACATGCTAAGGGTGATTCAGTCGAAGGCCGGCAACTCCCCGGTAGTTGTGACTGGCGATTTCAATGCCGACATGGACGAGGACGGCCCACAGCACTTCTTTAGGAACGGCTTCAAGCTAGCAGTCACTGAGTGGGTGGACGCCATTTTCTATACAGAGCAACACTGGAAGCTAGTTGCACAGGGTAAGGGTGACGCGGCACAGAGTGACCATCGCCCAATCTTTGCAGAGCTCGAGCTCTTGTAAGCAAAGCATGGACTTCGGTGAAGAGCACCTTTTTGAAGCCTGCTATGCGACGGTTGCGTCCCGCACCAGACGCCCAGGGGTGTTCTGAAGGCCGTGCAGGAGCGTGGCTAATTCAGTACAGATTGTTGCAGCCGGCGCAACCCTGCACTTTTGCTTGGTGGCACAATGTTCACGCAACTTTGCGTGAACGTACCGTCACCGTTGTCTCCTCCGAAGCGTAGTCCCTTACAACGGTTTAGGGTTCTTTGTGAGTCTTGATGGAATTTCTGCGACACGTGCAACAGCACGCAGTAAGTACTGTGAGTACTAGGCTTCGAACAGGTTTGGTTCAAGTTCATACTGTCCAGAACGGCACTGGCATTTGAAATATTAAACTCGGCCTCGAGTTGCTTTCCGACTGCAGCTTCTATGTTTGCAACGACTGCCCAGACCGTGGGAAGGGCCAGCTCGGAGACTACAGTTGTTGAGGCCCCTGACTGTCAAAGATGTCACAGTCGGAGGCATCCCAGATGGCGAGCCCTTAGGAGTGCCTTTTCCCAGAAGAGCATCCCGAAGCTTGTAGGTCTGCGATGCCGGGTTTTGGAGCTAGGCAACATCAAAAGGACTGGTTTGCGGTTGGCCATTTGGGAAGTCAGATTTGTCAAAAAGCCTGGCACATGGCCGAATGCAGAAAAGGCTCCTAGAATCCTAGAAGTCCAGTGACCTTGTTGGTACGTCGCTGTCCCTAGACTACCCTTAAGCACAACCCAGTGGATGGCGGGTTTCCCGGGCCATCACGCACCTTTGCTCAGCCGATCCTGCTGCCGGGAGTAAGTCAGAGGAGTGATTCTACTGAACTCCTAGACCACACACACACACACATATATATATATATATGACAGATATATATATATATATATATCGATCGCCAACCCCAGGCCCCTCCCATGAATCCGTGCCTGCTCGTGCTGGTGAGCGAGTCGGAACCCCCAAAGTGTAGCCAGGGGGTCTGTTCGCCGTGTCACGCCGACTCAAACCTGTGAGACCTCGCCTGGCCAGTCCGAGATGTGAGCGCGTAAAGTAGGCTCCCATGATCATGGGATGTCCAGATACGACTGGCATTGAGAGCCTTCATACTGCTTCTGCTTCCCCAATCTCCCTAAGGGCCTCGTCTGTATTACTGCCTTGAACGGCGTAGATGCTCTCTGCTACCGATCGTGTTTGTGATGTTGCAGTAGCAAGCTCAGACCCCTTCACGCCATGCCAGCCGAGTGCGAGTGTGTGAGTCCAAAGTAGGCTCAACCATTATCATGTTGAGAGGCTCGCTACTGCCAGATATGTTCTCAATAGGTGTGCGCACATCTGTGCGTTTTACTTACGAGATGCATGAGTTCAATCCAATCTCAAACCCGGTGGTGCGGTGGGACCAGCTGCTCCGAATACACAGCAACTGACACCTTGCTGCTGGACTTTTTACAGGTGTTTTCAACACTCCCTAAACCTATCTGTCAAGGGCACTAGAACACCTCGAAACCCACGTGGCTCTAACAGGCTTTTGGTTTGGGTGCGTCTTGCGGCTCCTTTACTCCCTAGACCCTATAGATCCCTAAATCCTATGTGAACACTGGGAGGAGGCACAGCAACCCTAACGCCTTGAACCCCTGCAGCCTTGACTGAAAAGCCCAACACCGACTAACCTTTTCACCTAAACCCCAAAGCTCCTCAGCCCTGAAGTCCTAAGCGACTCCTACCCCGAGCCGACCTCACAGGTGCTGGGTACCTGAGACTCTTCAGTCGAAATCCCGGAGCTTTGCTGTTCCAGCTTCGGTTGCTAAAGAGTCTTGGGGCTTTCGGGCTTTGCCGGTTTAGGTTTTCGGAGTTACAGGTCTGGAGTTGTGCAAGCCCTAGGGTTAGCTGGAGAAAATTTGGGGTTAAGGCGAGGACCTTTGAATTTAGGGACGTAGGGTGTTCAAAGTTGCTGGGTTCAGGGCTTCAGTGTTTGGTTTTGGGGGGTTCGGGGTATCAGGGGTCTCGAAACTACGGATTAGGGTTAGGTCAGGGCTTTATGTAGGGCCTCGGGGAAGTCAGGGGAGACGCAATCGCCGACAGATGCGACAGATGCTCAGCCACTTAGTAGATCCTTGTAGTGGAGTAAGTTACCTTGATCCAACTTCTAAATTGTGGGTACAGTAATCCCCACAATATTCCCAGAGGCTAACCTGTAGTCCCCCTAAGAAACTTGGACAAGTAAGCCTCGTTTGAGTAGGTCCGACCCATAGGCCCAGATCGAATTGCAAAATCCTGCACCGGCCAGCTGGCTCGGCAGCGGCGTGCAACCTGTAACTAGACAGGTTTGGGGGTCCCAAGTGCGAGGTTCCACCTAGCAAGTTCTGAGCCTCCCTTCCGAAAACCCAGCTGTCCTAGCTACAAATCCTCAATCAAAGCCTTCCGTCTCGAAACCCCTCCAAACCTAGAAAGCAAACACTGATAAGTCCTAGAACCACCGAAAATCCTAAAATCCTAACCCTGAGCCGGCTGAACTTTGAACCCCCACCAAGCCCTGATTCCCGAGAGCGCTGCGCACAAAACGCAAAATGACACTTAAAGCCCTTGAGGTAGCAATCCAGCGAAGATCTTTTGGGTCTCTGCCTCCGCTCTGACTGTAGTAGCAACCTCAGGAGAGGGTTCCGGGCAGGGTTTCGGCAAACTTTGGGTTTCAATCTTCGGGAGTTTAGTTTACTTAGTGTTATTTTTGGGCTTCGGGATGTTGGAGTTCACGTTAGTTAAGATATGTTAAGATATCAGATGCAGGGCTTGAGGGTGCTAGGGCGTGGGTCCTCTTTCTACAAAGCCAGGCTGTTGTGTTGTTGCCCTCCCCGGAATGCTAGGACGAGCGTACTATGTCGCAGATTTCAGGGTTGTGAAGTTGGGTGCAAGCAGGGTTGCAGGTGGGAGCTTCAGAAAGTTAGGGAATATCCTAATCCTAGAGACCCCCTTACTGAGCTGAGAGGCCCCACATTACAGCGGCATCTCTATCTTCGACGTACGGCTCTGAAGCCTTGAGCCTCGGAAAAATCCTGCACTCTACAGCCATAAAGTCTCTTCGTATGCTTTTAAGGCCTTGAAACTCGGAAGCCCCCGGGCTCTACATGAGCCCATACCCCGAAAGGCAAAAATGCAAGTAGCTTAAGGACTCTGCGAGGCTGAGCCCCTAAGCCTAATATACTAAACACTTAAGCCCCCCAATAACCCACGAACGAGGTGCTTGGGCTTATTGGCCTGGCGTCGGTGCCTGAAGCTTAGTCCCGACCTCCGCAAAATCCGTCAATGTAAACCCTAAACCCTAAACCCTAAACCCTAAACCCTATAGGTCTTGGGGTTCCTATTTCGATGATGAAGGCTTCAGGCCTTGGGACTTTCGGCTTCAGGGAACAACGGTGTAGGGTTTAGGGTTTAGGGTTTAGGGTTCAGGGTTCAGGGAACAACGGTGTAGGGATACAGTAGCTTGCAGGGGTCCCGCTTCGTGGTCTTGACGGTGCAGGACTGCAGGCTTCCACTCTTTGTGGTTCCCTGAGTTGCCCTAGTCTTTTGAAACTTTGTAGTTTCCTTTGGTCCGGTCGGGGGCCAAAATTATTCGACATTTTTGCTGTCGAAGAAGGGAACAACATCAAGGGCTGAAGGCCTGGATTGCCCAGTGACTGGAGCAATGCTGAGGCTTTGTGAGGGTTCTTCGTTTTTACCATTTTGGGCTCTATGGGTTTCGGGGTTGAACGGTGTTTAGGGGTTCGTGGTTCAGGGTTCAGGGGTAGAGAGATCTTGATGCTATTTTGAGCCGTCGAGTTTTGGGCTCACCACCTACGCATGCTCGCGACTTGTTTTGCACCTGTACACTGGGAGAAATCCTGATTGCTTGTCGCCCTCTAGAGTGTACAGCCCTAGGCAGAATCCTGAAGGTATTTAGGCTTTTGATCAACCACCCCGAGCCGAGGATCAATGCTGTCCAGATGGAACTGGAGTTGGGAGGCGAACCTGCAAACCTGTCTTCCAGAGTCTTGATGTTGAATGCCTGTGGGTGTCCCGAGTTCCTAGAATCAACACCGTTGTTCAGAAGTGTTTTTCGGGCCTCCTGTTCAGCATCGATACACCCTAAAATCCTGAACGCAAAATTCGATGCGCAAAGTCCTAAGCCTCCGGCGGGTCCGGGTCGTCGTTTCACTCGTGTTTCGAGGGAAGGGAGCCGGGGCATTGGGGTTTTGGACTGGGTGTAGAGCGGCGTGGGATTTCGCGGTTGAATTGGGGCTTGTTGGCTCTTGGAAGTTCACGATGTTCCTGACCTTGTGACACCGACTTTCTCAGGGTGATCAGTATTGTCCATAGTCCCTGGCCACAAAACTTTCTAGGTAAAGCCTTTAAGCCCACAGGCATTTACATTGTTGGCCGGGTCACTTAACCCTAAACCCTAAACCCTAAGGCTCAGATCGAACCGGCCGTGCCTTGTGCGAGTGTGTGAGTCGAAACCCTAAAGCTCAGCCGATAACGGCCACAGCCGGTATTGCTTAAATTGTACGAGAGCGAGAACCGTGAGCCCATTCCTTAAGGGAAAACCGAGCCCTGAGGCTAAAGTCCCAAAGCGTCCAAAATCCTATACATAAACCCTGAACCTTCAACCCCTTAAACGGCCGGTGAGGAGGGTGTTGCAGAGGGCTTTCCTTCTTGCAAGCCGCAGGTTGCTTGCATCTCCTGGCCTTTAGTGGCCTTTCTAGGCGCAGCCTTGGCCGCGACTAGAGAAAAGGAGTTGAATAACAAAATCTAAACCTCAATTGTGAAGCCGAAGCCCTGACATTTGTATCGCACGAAGGCCTCTGGGACCTCTTGGACAACATGGAGTTCCTGCTGGGTGCCGCCGCCCTCGTCACAGCCGGGGCCATGGTGGGTAGGTTCGGGGTTTAGGGAGGGCCGCGGAATGACTGGGGTTTAGGATTCGGGCACCTGGAGTTGCAATTATTCGTGGATAAACTCGGCCTGGCGATCACGGATTCGTCGTTGTAATTGTTTATCTGTGCAGCTATGCACGGTTTCTTTTGGAGTTAGGGGTCAAGGGTTGACAAAGTTCCTCTCAGCGCTTAAGGTTTGCCCAAGTGCTCGCCGTCATCAAGGATTGAAGTCTATCGTTCAGGTCTTCAGCGTCTTTTTATCGGATGATTCGGGGCTAGGGTTGGGGAAGGGGGGTATGGGGCTTTTAGGGCGAAGGCTTACGTCTGGAGCAATCTCTGCTGTAAGGATCCTTCGAAGCTTGCCAAGCTTGCTGTATCGTGATATGCTGAACTAGTAGCCCCAAACCCCTGACCCGAACCCCTAAGAAACCTTATAAAACCTGAACCGCGCAACCCTAAACCCCCTATCTACTTGTCCAAGTAAAAAGAGTGATAAAGGTATGACGGTATGACTCACTGGGAAGTCATTCAGGGCACTGCATACGAGTTCCAGGTGGCAGGAGCAAGGAAGGTTTGACGGCTCGAAATGCACTGGTGTGTAAGCATTTGCTTCGTAGTCGAAACTGCCATGTCGAAACCGTACACTTAGACAGTAGCCCTTAAACCCTAAACCCCTTTGATCCCACAGCCCAAACCATTAACCCCTTCCCTAATATTGAAAGTTGGGCCCCCCCCCCCCCCCC